ACACACACACACACACACACACACACACACACACACACACACACACACACACACTCGCACACACGCACGCACACACATGTTTGCATACGTATGTCCGTGCACACATACATAAATGATATTATTATTATAAGTCTATATTATGATGTCTGAGCACACAGCGCAAAAACACGCGTGCAAGCTCTGAGATAGATTGTGGGTGGTTGGCGGGTGCCTGGTGTGGTTTGCTTCTTTCCTTATCTCCCCTTTTTCTTTTTTATGTTTGTGGTAGCACCCAAGGAGTGGGTAACACCTCTAATCTTCTGGAACTCATATGACCTTATGCAGTTATGAGCGCCTTAAAATCTCTACTAAAACTAAAGTGAGAGAGCAGAGAGAATGAGAGAGAGAGAGAGAGTAGAGAGAGAGAGAGAGAGAGAGAGAGAGAGAGAGAGGGGGGGGGCAGGTAATATGTCTGTTAAGTGACACAATATTTAGGGCTGCTGTTGCCGATTGCCAACTAAATATTATGTAGGCCTACACATCAAAACTTACAGTAACATTAGTCTCTAAAGCATCTGAATGGTTTTGTCTGAAATCAAGCAATAAAATAAATAAATTATTGTTTCATTTATGATAAGAAAGAATATATTCATGAAGGGCTCGCATTCGGTGCTGTGGCTGAGAAAGTTGTAGTTGTAACATAAAAATGTTCATGATGCAGTCAGAAATGTTCCCTTGGGTTCCAGATCCCATCCTCGTGTCCGCCAATTCCCATGTTTTGTGCAACATCAGGTTTCCACAAAATGGGATCGTTTTGATGCAGATCATTTAGTATCTGCATTTGATATCTGCCAAAGAGTGGATTGGTAAATATGCACACATGTAGCCTAGATCTGGAATCTACTTTCAATGGTTTTGTGTCTACATTTACGTGACGTGCACCTTACTATGCCGTAGGCTATGCGATAACAACTGTAAGATGAAGATTGTGTAGGTCAAAGGATAATTTTTATTCTGTTTAAAAAAAAAAATTATTTATAGATGGCGGCTGAGGCAGAGAAAAAAGATAATTTGGCTGAACAGACAAGACAGCATGGAAAAAGAGTGAGATATGGAGAAATTGTGCAGGTAATATGAGAACTTTCATCATCATCATCATCACCATCATCATCATCATCATTTCTCAACTCATGCGGGTATAAAGGGAACCAACAAGAGCATTCTTGTAGCTTTTTAGAAGTTAATTTTGTACGTTTCCATAGTAGCCTTTTAGTACAATTTAGACCTTTACGTTTTCTGAAGAGTTTCTTGGTAGGGTATACATTTTTATTCAACGCTCTGTTCATTTCTGTTTATTTGAAACATCAGAAGAGGCACTCTGGCATATATTGCTTTGCTTTGTGCATTTAAAATGTTTTTGTTTTTTTTAGTGTTTCCAGCATTATCTTTGTATGTAGCCTTACCTTTGGCCTTTTACATTTTATGCTCTCTGAATCCATTGCCTCCCCTCATCCCAATTATATGTTTGGGTCTTATGTAATGGTTTGATATAAGCTATCCTTAAAAAAAAAAATTATAAAAATGTAACCTGTAAAGAAATTTAGTTGATCAAAGGAGTAACTCCGTTATTTAAAGATAATACTTGTGATGGGCTTCCTTGTTCAAGTTTTTAATATTTAGAATGTATTATTTTTTTTTTACATTTTCAGCTGGATCACTCTAATATTGTGGTTGGAATCTTTTTTTCTCTGTTTTCAGCTTAAACATGGTTTCACCGGCAAATACGTGCAGATGAGTACAACACACACAAGCAAGAAAGATAAAAACAATATGAGGGTAATGTTTATTAGAACATTGCTACTTTTCCTTCTATATATTTTTATGGCGCATCTATTTGGTTTATGATGTAATAAAACTTTAGATTTGAGCAAATAAATTTATACCAGTGGTTTGCTTCTTAGAAAAGTTATTTTACCTTAATATTTTTCTCAGTGCACCAAGCTGCATGGGCTTTTGATAGTCTGTAGAGATATGCAATGAGAGCCTTCAGAGTAGCTTATGACCGTACAGAAGCACATAATTAAAATGCGCTTATAATATAATATACAGATTTTGATTTTTATCACCGGTCTCCATAGTTGCGGCTTGATTCTATAAGTCATGATTCCGTGCAAAAGTTTATTGTACCATGTGACTTACAGTTGGCTGAATTTGTTTTTCAGATTTCACTGATCCAGTTCAATGCCAAGAATGCACAATTTAGAATTTTGCCTCGATACAAAGTGAAGTCAGAGGGTGAAGTGGTAAGTTTATATTGTAGTCTGTTAGGTGGAAAAAGACTGTAAAAGAATCCCAGAAATTAACTGTGCAATTGAAAGAAAAATTAATCAGGAATGATGTCAAAGTTTTTTTTAGGTTTTATTATAACTGGACATATTGTACTTGATCAATTCAGCTGGTCAGGTTTTAATTGAAAAAGCAAAAGCTTCTTGTTCAAAAATAATCTAGAAAAAGATACATTTACTTTAGATTCTCTGATACCTAGCTGTTTAGCTTTGATGTTTCTGATAAGGACATAGGTCTGTACTTCTCAAAAAATTGTTATGTATTGCTGTAAACTGTTGTATTTTCATGTGTTTTCACACGTCTAATAAGAAAGAAAACTGACAATGTTTGTATATTATTCATTCAGGTTCAGTTGTATGATCAAATTGTGTTTGAAAGTGTGAAATCTCCTGGTCATTACTTTCACACAAGTGAACCGTTCCAGATCGACCACTTTCAGTGGGGGTACGTACATTCAAAACAATTGGCTAGTTTATGGTTAAGATAATATAGTGTTTAGTTCAAGGTTCCATGCCCCCCACACACCCGCACACGCTCTCAGATTCTTTCAAACACAGGCACTCTCCATGATCTCTCTCTCTCTCTCTCTCTCTCTCTCTCTCTCTCTCTCTCTCTCTCTTTCTCTCTCACACACACACACACATATACACACACGCACGCATACACTCACACTCTGACACACTTAAACACATACCCTCACCTACAGACGAACCCAAAGTCTAAATTCCAGTAATGATGAAAGTGTAAATTCCTGTAATGATTTAGATCAAATGCTAGTACCTCAAAGGTCATCATTTTCATATCATCTTTCTATCCTCTTGTACCGCAAGGTGTCAAGGGGAAATGTAATTCTTGGACGTTGGCCAGGTGTGTTGCTTTATTGATCGTTGTATTACAAGTGTCCTTTAAGGGTCTCTTTAACTCCATTACTTCAACCTTTTCTTGGATTTTCTTTTGCCTTCAAGCTATTGAATCACATGTTGTAAGCCTTTGAACCTGACTGTTGTGGCCCTGTTCTCATAATGTATCTAAACCACCTTATTTGTTGTTTCTTTATGTGTTTCATGCTCGATTTGTCATCCATTTGTTGTCTGATGTCTTCATTTCTTAGTCTGTCTCGTCTTGTGAAGTTTAATGTTTTTCTGAGACACTTCATTTCGCATATTGTTATTTTACTTTGCTGCGTTTTGTTGAGGGTCCAGGTTTGGCACTGGTAGAAGGAGTTAGAATGAAAATTGATCTCCTGAGTTTTTAATTGTTTCATTGGTGAATTTATTTATTCTTGGTAGTATTTAACTTGAAAATGTTCATCTTTCTTAATAATTTACAATATTACCATGATCATTAGTGTGAAAACTTGAACTCAAAAGTTTGGTATTAACCTCTTTTTTTTGTTTTGTTTCTGCCAACTTCATAAGACCACCAGCCTGGCGCAGATGCTAGGTAATTGTTTTTCTTTTTCTTTTGTTTTCAAATATTTGGTTGTAAATTTGTTTTCATTGCAGGTCAGAACTGAACTTAGGTGTTGAAAGGTCTAGTTTCACTCTGATTGGTAGTTACAGAGACAAACATGATGAGCAAGACAGATTTGTCAGGGTAAGAACTTTTTTGTTTACCTGTTCGTTTTTTAAAAAAATGATCACGTTCAATTCCATCTGCTCTGTAGCCTACCTTGAAAGTGTGTATTGTTTTAGATGAGACTGTTTTATGCCGCGCTTTGAATTCATACGCACAGGGTTAAAGCCCCCCACATTATAAGTAAACAGTTAGGAAACATTTCTATGTCAATCTTTACCATCACATAAGATGTTTTTAGAATGTAAACCTCTGCAGAATACAGCTTCATCAATAGTAGCCTATATAGCAAAAAAAGCGCTTCTACTATGATGGGAGAATTATCAAAGTACCAAAGTACACTTCTTGTTATTCTTTAATTTTTTTCTCTCCTTTATTTCCATCTTGCAGATATTGATGACGGAGTAGCTATATGTACGAAATCATATTTTTTCAAAGCTAATTACTGGACTCACCTCACTGCCATATGCGTTCAGATTGCTGCTTTACTAGATCATTTATTGTACATTTTTCTGTCAAATCATGATGGTAGGCCTAAGCGCAAGGGATAGTTGTGAGTGCATCTTTAGTTGTGTTTAAATTTGCAAACCTTCATAAATCGAATCAGATTTGTCAAAAGCTGCCATGGCAACAGCTTTGATTTGCTAAAAATCTTTGGAATTATAGAATTGAATAATATTCATTTCTTTTTAGATGAAAATGATACGGCTATAGTGCGGTCCTGAAAACTAGATTGTTATAGAAAAAACTAATAACAATACATGTCCTGGTTTTTGTATCCATGTACCACAGGGAGGTTGTGCTGTTCGACTGTTTCACAAAGAATTGGAGGCCTACCTGGTTGCTGAGGGTCTCTTTGATGAAGCAGTCATTGAAGATGGTAAGTGTTGGAAAAAATAAGTGTATGGGTTTAACACCCCTATTAACACCATTAGGTTATTTATGGTAAGTTTTGCAAATTAATCATGTTTAGTTTTGGACGTTGACTTTTAATGATTTTTTATAATTAGTTTGGTTCAAAGTATGTAAGAATGATTCGGTTTAAAACATTTTTTTCAGTGCATTTCCGAATCCGAGCCATAGATCAGCATCGGCCCAAATCCTTGTCACCGTCCACATCTGGTATAACATACTGGCAGGTTGAGGCTGAACATAGTATTTTTGATGGTGAGTGCAATTTATCGCTATTTTAAAAAAAATTGGGTTAAAAAATTGTGTGGGCAGTTGTGCTTCACCTGTGTTGTTATAGGAACTTAGACATCGGTCATAAGTTTATGATACAAATTGGTGTGGGTTCCAAATCTGTCCTGCCCTTCGACCTCACTTATTTCCTCTCCACCTGATGTCTTGTCAAGAAATCTGTTATAAATATTACTAGCCAGCTTTCCTCTGTATTGAGTAATTCTCTTTTGGACTAGTTTCATGTTCAGTCCTAGTGGCCAGCAAAATGTATTATGATTACCTTTCCTTTCAAAAGTACCAGTCCTGTCTCTTATTGATGTGTTTGAGGCCCATGTCAGCCATGCCTATTTTGCAGTTAGGAAGGCATTTACTCGCATATGGTTGGAGGGTGCCTTTGGTACGTCCTTCTTCTGATCCTTCTCTCTATTGTTTCTGTGTTTGTCTCATTTTTCCCTTGCACTTAAAATTGTTATTGTGTCAATTTGCTTCTCTTTACTCAAAAATGGGCATATCAGTGAATTCTGCACTGCGCATATTGTTTGCACTGCTCCCCCCCCTCCCCTCAGTTCTCCCATCTTGATATAAAAAAGTAACTGATAACTGCTGTAGATTCAACATTGGATTAAGCCTCATTACATGCACCGAAATACTCGTTTAAGATATTCAATTTCTCTCTTATAATTTTCACTTCTTCATTGACAGGTGATGTCCTGCGGTGGGAGCAGCAGATCCGCTTACGTCACATGCTCACACGTCAGTATCTGTGTCTCAACTCCAAAATGGAGGTGTCACTCACCTCTGATGCAACAGATCCTCGGACTGTGTTCCGACTGCATTCAGTCCTGAAGGTTTGATTTCTAGAACTATTTTTCAATTTAGAAAATAGTCCAAATCAAAAGTCAGAAATAACTTGTGAAATGCTGTTATCACTGAATTGCTGAATTGTAGCATACAACCCAACCGTTGAACAATTACTAGAGCTGCAGTCAAGCTAATTATTTGGTCTTTCAAATTTCCCAGTCTGCTTCAGTTTATATATTCTCTTTGGAAGGTGGTTTGTTTGTGTGTGTGTGTTTGGGGGGGAGGGGGGGTTCTTTAGTATCTTATGACCAGTGTTTATCTTGTTTATCTACTATTCTGGGAACTTAAGGAATATGCTGAAATTACTTGCTCTGATGATTGTTCCTCATTCTACTCCTCCAATAACTGATTTAAGTTTTATTATAATTTATTTTTTCAACTGTTTGTGTATAAATGCATGGGACATTCTTTTTCCAGGAAAGGGATGAAATTCAAGCTGAGAGCTATGCAAGAATAGAACACATGCTTACAAACTGTTGGCTCCATGCTTTGAAAGGTACGTAGGCTGTAAGTCAATCATTATTTTCAAGTGGCAGATTTGTATACTTTTTTATTCATGTCTTTGGTTTCGATGAATGATTAGAAAAAGAGAAGTGTCTCAAGTTGGTGTAAAGCTGTTAACTCTTAGCTGTTACTCTGTCAACTTTTTAGCCTGTGATTGGTGGTATCACATTTTTTCAAAGTACAAGTCTCGTATCTACCCCCATTTACATGTTACAACTATTTCAAGTTAAGTTTAAAACTATGATTGAGATATCATTCTCAGGAAAAAAATTAATATAGATGTAGATCAAGGACTTCCCAAAGCATCAGAATTTTGTTAACATTTCTTGGCTCTTGTATATGGAAAATGTTTTCGTGCATATATTTCATAACTTTGAGTGTGTTCGTGAAGGAAAATGGATCCTTAGCCATGATTTCCAAAGTCTATGTTTTAGATATACAACTTGAAGAAGAAGTAACGATTTTTATGAGTATCGTCATGTTAAATTTGTTTTTCATCTGCATCAAGAGAAATTAGTTTATTGCACAGGAACTGCTCTCTTTTGTTATTTCAGATGAGGACTATGAAAAGAGGCAGTACAATGAATATAACACAGAACATACAATGCAAGGGTTGAGATGGGATGGAGCTCCCCTCAGACAAGTATGTTTATAGGTGTTGACTGTTTTCTTATATAACGTAAGACGTTAAGTCTTTTCTTTCTCATTATGCTGTTCGGAATTTAAGATGCTGTTATGAAGGTGCTCTCTGAAAGTGATTTTGTTTCTCTTTGTTTTAGGTCACTGTGCCTGAAAATTCTTTTGCATTTTTCATTTTTTTTAAAATATCCGTGTCAGTCATTCTTCTCATTCTTCTCCCGCATTCTCCCACTTGATCTCTGAGGTTGTCAACCGGTGCTTTTTCCAATCACAGTGCAAATGATTTTCATGCATACTTGCTTATTTTCTTTAGGAAGCATTGTATCAATCCCAATTCAAACAATTTACAGATATTTGTGATAATACTGTGATAAAATGCATCTTTTATTGTTTCTTTTGCAAACTTTGATTAGGTGGTTTTCTCCCATTTTAATTCAAGATTTGCTATATGGAGATCTGATACATTTTTGACACACTTTTATTTCTTAAAACAGTTTCTTCTTCTTCATAATATATTTTTAATTATTGCAGGTGTCAGCAAGTCTTGAAAGTATGTATGATGATGCTTACACAATTCAGATGGTGGCAGAAAATGATGTGCTCAATTTTAACTATGTTGCTGGCATGGTTCCGTTTCTCTTCAACCTCATCCAAGATGTAAGTGTCATTTTTCTGAATGTTTTGTTATTGTCGGGGCAGATGTCGAGGAATGCTGTTTACTGTTTTTCTACAAAGAGAAAAAAACAATATGAAGTGTGTGTTTCTTTTCAATGTTAGATAAACAGAATGTCAAGTGCAGTTGTCTCTGAATTACCAGTGTTTTCTACCTGAGTCAAAGTGGCTTTACAGAAGGGTAAAACAACTAAAAACATAATGAGTTAATTTGTTGTGTGATGGGAAGTTAATATATTCTTTATAGAGTTCTTATTTACCTGAGACTGAGCTTTATGTTTATTATTGTATTCTCCAGCAAAGAAGTCATGTGACACTCACAGCAAGGAAAACCCACGAGATGATCACAGTAAGTAATAAAAATTCTGTGACTTTTTGTTTCAAGTTGATTTGTATTGTCTATTGTCCTTCCTTGAAATGTATTTTTTAAATCAAAACCAGTTGTGGCAGTAAAAGGCATTATGTGCAAATAAGATACTGATTTAAAAATTTACGTGGAAGTGGAAAGACAACTTTTGACATGAAAGTTTTTCTCTAGTTTTAAAGTGAAATCAACAGTCATAGTAGTAGTTTAAAATCCAATGTTTAGGGAAAGATGATAGTTTTAATCAGATGAGTAAGTTAATAATGATTCTTTAGTTGGTTACTCTATACCATTCAGTTTCTGAATCATTTAATGTTTCTGCGACTGACCGGAACAGATGTATGCTCTTTCAGGGGAACTACTGTGTGGCGGAGCGGTTAGTGGGCTCATCTCCGAACCGGAAAGTCCGGGTTCGAACCTTGGTTCAGACACAGATTTTTTTTTGCCCCCTCCTGCCCACCCAGCAGTAATGGATACCTGACTTCGAGTTGGGGAAGTAAAGGCGCCGTGGAAAGGAACTGGCGACCCTACCACAATATGCCGAAGGCCCAGGAAGTTGTTTCACTAACAAGGCAATCCCCAATGTTGGGATCGGATGCTGGAACAACTTTTACTGTGTAATCAGATTATTTGATTTATATTTTTTTCCAGACGCTGCATGAAATCAAGGAGTTTATCATGCCAAATGGAATCCCAGACAAGCAGCGGCAAAAGTTGCTGAGGAACCTGAGAGTAGGTGTTTACATTTAGTTTAGAATTGTCAATGTTACTGTGAAAAAAGACTTTTCACAGTGAGACAGTTAAGTACCGGGAATGACTGTTTTTGCAGCACTTAAAAATCTTCTTATTTGCCTTGTGTAGGTTGTGAAATGCGTGTGTGTGTTTATGTGTGTGTTTGAGTAGGCCTACATTTTGGGACAAAAAGCAACTTTTAGTGACCAAATAACCAGTACAACAGTAAATAAAGTATAATCTTTGTTAAGAAGCAAGTCCTTAAATGCATCAAATATTAAAAAATAGAAAAGGTATACTATAAAAAACAACACAACTTATGAGTTGATACCGAGATTTTGAAAATAACAGATCATTATCTGCATCATCATTACCAGTTTGGTTTGGTAAGGGTTTTTTGGCACCCACAACTGCATATGGTCATACGAAGGTGCATTAATATTATTTACTACTTCAAGCGCTCAGAGCCTGTGTACTTTAAACGGGGACGAGTGCTATATAAAGTTCGTTTATTTATTTATTTGTTTAAGTAACGTTTAAATTGCTCCGAGATCAGATAGTAATAACTTCTATTTTGTTTATCCATCTAGGTTATAGATCTACTGGTCAAACTCTTACACTGCCCACTCAGAGATGGGGATGAGCAGCTGCACATGATCAGGATCTTCAAAGAGGCCTATGATGTATTACACGCTTACATGTTGGGCAAAAGTCGAAAGAATGCCCTGTACATTGCCAAGTACATTGATTTCTTTCAAACACAGTTTACCCAGAAGGTATAGCATATTTACATTGCTTTACTTCTTTTTTTAAATTGTTGTTTCTTTCAATCTTATGAAAATATTTATGTATTGAAAAAATGATACTTTGATTGATTTTTCATGACTCTTCATTATATTTTTTTTAATGCCATCATGGACTGTTTTATTACCAGTTCTGGTAATTTATCAATTTTTTCTTAATAGACAAAAACGAAATGTATTAGAGTGGAAGAAAAAAGATAAAACACTAAGTATTTCTTTGTGCAGAGACAGAATACGAAAGGAATTTAAATGCTGTGATTTTGCGCTCATGTGTCAATTTATAGAGGAAAGATAACCAATCTTCAAGAATGTCCTGTGGCATGTTGCATTTCAGGGAGGTATTGGTCTGAACGTTGCTCAGATGATTGTGGAGTTGATCAGAGACAAGAGGAAAATTGTGGACAGAATCACACAGAATCATGTGGAAACATTCATCCAACTGCTGCGCAATAACCCAGTGAGTTTTGGTTACTATTGCATGCATCACAGAATGTGAAATTGGATAATGTTTCATCATTTATTCTCCTTTTGTGGATGATTCTTGCTCTGAACTTGATTTGTTTTCTGTTTGTTTGGACAGCACCTCAAGGTCATGAACATATTCTATCTCTTTGTGTAGAGTCGAACCGCTGATATTATGACTGTGCTATAAGATTGTGATAGCAATCCATCTCTGTTGTACACGACTAGTTTCCATGAGATTGTGATGACTACTACTTTCAGCAGTAAAGATTGCCAGGATGCGCTTTGCTTTATAGCAAGAGTGTTTCAATTAATCCTTTTTTAACACTTTTCGGTCACTTTGGCGCAATAATGCACCACTGAAAATTATCCGTTCTGGTCACCTGAAGCAGTGCTGCACCAGACCCAAGAAGTCCTTTGCAGTCACTCTTCTGGCTGGGTGACTAGATGGGGTATTTGTACTGCTGGCTGTGTGACTGCAAAGTGTTAACAAAGGTCTCCTTCTTCACACCAATGTAGTGTAAATTGTAACAAAAATTGACTGCTCAGTGTAGGACTCCGCAGGCTAGCAGGCTGTATATTTAAGTTTTGCACTGAGCAGTCTAACTGTATCTTGAGGTTACGGAATACTGTGTTTGCGTACAATGTATTTATTTACTTTGGCTATCAAAGTCGTGCACTTATTTGTAAAATGATTATGATAGCAGCCAAAGGGGGGGGTGTGAAGAAAGAATTTTATTTGATTCAAATTTTGCATGATTAGCTGCTTTATCTCTGCATTTGTAAACTTGTTTTTCTGGCAACTCTCAGATGATGTATGAAAAATGTCCATTACTTTAGCTGTTTAAGAATGTCATGATGGAGAAAATGCTCCCAAAGCATAATATGTGTGTACGGCATATCAATTTTGATAGAAGATTTAATGTGATAGAAATACAAGGATATTATATATTTCTGCTATGTAACCCCTCACTTTATTGTCTTGCTGGCATTTCGTTTTCTAGATGCATTTGAAAATGGGATATTCTTTTTCTATTTAATCATTAAAAATTAAAGATTTCCTGTCCCAATTTTGTGTCAGACTGTCTGACTTCATCTTAAATGTTATCTTTTTAAATTTCATCAGAACTACCACTTCCTGGATCTGCTGCAAGTGCTCTGTGTCTGTGATGACGTTGCCATACCCAACAATCAAAGCTACATAGTTCAGCAATGGCTACGTACTTACAAAGTAAGCTGTCTGATTTTGGCTAGCAATTAATGCTGGCATTTCTCTGCTTTGCTTGTTATTGATGTTGCACTTTGAACTAATTCCAGTATGATTGAAAGATACTAATGTTTTGATGACAATGATAATTATAACGATAATAATAATAACGACTATTTTAGTAATTGAACAAGGGAGTTACCCTTTGTGGCACAAGAACTGAAGCTAAATGTTTGTTTTCAATAAAGATGATTCCTGTTTTATTTTCAGGACAGCATTTACCTCTTGGACAGGGGCCAAAACATCAACAAAAGGCCAAACATTGTGTACATTTCCGTGACCGGTGGAAACACATGGGTTGCGTTGCACCAATTTGTGGACGTAAGTTAACACTTATGCAATTGATCTGTAGATGTAACTTTGCTCAACGTACTATAATATTGTAAAATTGAATGGATAAATGTGAGGTGTGCTGATTAAATTAGTTATTTCTCGCTATCCACAAATGGAGATACTGGCTGAAAATTGACTTAAGGGTCAGATTTGTAGATTTTTGATTGATGCAATATTCTTTAAGTATAACATGCCTTTTGTTATTTCCTACCTATAAAATGTAAAACTTCAACAATAAGCGTGATGTATCTATTTCCATAGGGCTTGAATCTGAGAAATAATAAATTTTGTCAGCACGCTTCACAAATCCTGAAGCATAAAAGTGTTTATTGCCTTGGATCATTTTATTGGTCAATATTGGGTGTTGTACTTCCGAATCCTCAAAAAGATAAATAATCATGTTTTAGTCATCAGCCTGATTTATATCATGTCTCTCCCCTTCTCACCCACTTGCATGTATATGCGCATGCACTCTTACACCCTCACAAAATTATATGTTACTTAGTATGTGAAATCACAAGACTTTCTCACAACTTTTTTTCTTTTTTGCCTTCTCTGAATTATTTGTCAGCCCTTTTATTCATCTATTTAGATCTATATATGTTTTGCTCCAACCGTTCAAACTTAAAAATAGGAAAGGTGAGTATGGACTTGGGCAGTGTTACGTAGGGCTGTGTTGGAATTATTGTTAAACTCCGCAAGCTTCATTTGTGCATTTACTAAACCCTTTAAGTAGGATGAACTGAATGGATGCACACATGCACGCACACACTTGCTTGCGCGCGAACACACACACACACACACACACGCACGC